CTTATAAATGAGTTTCTTAAGTGTTAACATCTTGAAACAAAATATCAAAAACATGATTGAATTTCTGACCTGAGACATTGCTGCATCAATAAACGGATTAACATCTTTTGGTCCTGGAGTTGGTCCAGATAAAAGCTGAGTTGACATTGCAACAAGCAAGAAGCTAACCAGCTCCTGGTGCAGAAGGTACGTATTGGGACTTGCGACAAAAATAATCAAAATTAGGGAAAAATTAAACAAAACTTTTAATGCTAATTTTTCAGAGCTCATCAGTAAGACGTCCTGTACCTTACATCTACTGAAGCAATAAAGCCAAGGACATTATGCATGACAAGATTCTCAATACTTTGATCTGCCGAAAACAAATCCAAACTCACGGTTATGATGCTATTACCAATTAAATAAACCTAAGAACTACAAGAAAAGGAAACAAAGCCCATTAGGGAAAACTTTACCAGGTTAACCTTTAGGAATGATAAACAAATTTGAATGCATGGGTGTGGCTGTGACCAGACTAGAAAATCAAAAGTCAGAAACAACCAGTGTTACACAAAATGCATAGCTACCTCCATCTAGGAATGGCTAAAATGGTTCTTGTGGCCCAGCTAATTTTTTTAGGATTATGAAAAGCAATCATGTATCAAAACGGTAATGCAAAAAATTTAATGAGGTGAGTCAGGTGATCATTGAAGTCTGGACATGAAAAAGGCAATTGCCAAACAGTTCACATTAAATGCTACAAATGTCAGCAGGATCAGCCCTAAATACGAACTTCTACTTCTAGTCCATAAGTTTTCAAATACAGTAATGAGTTGATGACTCATATATATTTACCTGTCACAAATTCATCATGTATTGCTTCATTTTCATCAAGAGACAAATATAACTGAGCAAGGTTTTCACTTTGCGAGTTTTCAAATGTGTACTTCAAGAAAGCAGATGAAATATACACTGCATTAACAGCCTTCATATATACTGCAGATGGAGCACCAGAAGTTTGGGTAGCCTCTTGTAAACACCATGCAAGATGAATCAAAATCTTGGCCAGGTGCCTGGTACAGCAGTTGTTTTGTGCTGCAAAAAAATAGAGAACAAACATAAACCAACAAATACACCAGATCCACATCTTAACAGGAGAAAAAAAAAAAAAAAAAAAAAAAGTAAAAAGGTTCACATAGCTTCCGTCAGCACATACTAGACACACAAATAATTGGAAGACCATTTCCTTAGCATCAGGCAAACAGCCAACAAATCCATAGATGAATAAGTTTCAATGAATTGTATTAACTTAAAACTATTAAATAGTCTTTTTTTTTTTTTTTTTGGTTATTTTCACAGTAGATGAATAGGTTTCTAGACAGTGTGGATGTCAGTGCTGGTTGTTTAAGGAGTTTCCAAACGTCACTTCTAGCAACGTGCATTGGATGATTATACACTGGCAAAGAATTTTCTTAAAACACTTTCAGGTATATTGCATGAGTGTCGGCACAAGTGTCTATCGTACATTTTACATTTGCATGAAGAGAAACATTATGGAAAATTTTCTAAACCCATTGCCAAAAATGTTCATCAGAACTAGAAAAACTTATAAGAGGCTCAGATCATACCAGTATCAAAAAAAGAATAAAATTTAATTATAACTGCTACGATAAATTCTTTTAGTGCATGACAATCAATTGGTAATTTGAGAAATTCATATTCTACTTTAATCTAGCAAAAATGATCACAAGCGAAACAACTAAACCAAAACCTGAATTAATAATTGTATAAACAAGACAGAAATGGAAAGCACTCACTAAAGAGGTTGCAAGCTTGGCGGACACGATGCGCCGGCCAGCGGAGACTGGGGGGAAGCTCAAGAAGCTTCTGCCAGAAATCAGAGTCCAAAGGGAACGATTTCTCACCGACAAACGTAGCGATTAGGTACTCTGCTGTCTCGCTGCTGCTGGAATGCCGCGGCGTCGACGGCACTGCCCCCATTTTCCGGGTTATCAAAGAGAAGGACCAGGCGTTAGCTGGATTCAGTGAGTCAGTTCAATTGGATGGCGAGTCAGGCGATCTCGGACTCGCGATCAATTGGCATCGCCGGCATTACAGTGGAAATGGAGAGGAGGAAATGGATCTGGTTCCGGCGTGGTTGGGGACGGTATTCAAGTTGAAAAGGAAATTAGAAATGGAAATGGGAAATGGAATTGGAAATCGGTGTTCTGAGTGAAAATATGAAAATTAAAAAAAATAAAAAAATGAAAAATGAAACAAGGAGCGTAGGAACGAAGGTTTTTGAAAAAGGATAAATGCAGAGGTCCTTTTCTTCAATTTAATTTAATTTATTTTCCTTCTTTTTCTTTTGTAATTAGTTTCATCTTCTTTGACGGGATTGCCCTGGTGATTCTATTACAATTCCATATTTGTGCTTTAACTTTATTTTTATACTTTTTATAAAGTTTGTTTATACTGTGTTTTTCTAAATGTATTAACTATATTTTTTTACTATAAATTTATATAAAAAAAAATTTAATATTTAATTTATTAATTATTTAATTAAATTTATCTAATATTAAAATTAATATTAATTTTTATATTTTTTATGTATATTTATGATCAAAAAATATATTTTAATACACTTTTAAAGTATAAATTTTTTAAAAAAATTCTATAATAAACATGATAAATTACATATTTTATAATAATTAATAAAAAGATATTATCTTAATATAGGGGCATACTCCTTATAAATGAATACAAGGTGTGCCTCACATCACCTTTCTTTTGTATAATTTTTTTAAGGTTGGCAGATAAAAACTAAACTTATAATTAAAAATAGAGATACTTTTATTTTTTTTGTTTTAATTTTAAATTGAACATAAAAAATAATCTTTTCACATTTCTTAACTCATTTCACTCATACATCAAATTTAAAACTTATTTCCATTAAACCACATGGATAATGGTTTTTTTTTTTATAGTAATTTTGACATTAGTACTTATATCTTTGAGTTAAAGTTTTCTTCGATGTAATTATATCGAAAAATGTAGGACTGATGAGAAATACTTAATGGTTGCCAACTGATGGTGTTTAAATTATAAACACAACAAATATTAACTATCAAATATGAAATTGAGGAAAATTAGGTCATTTAAATAATT